CACCCCATCCCCCCTCTGCTCCCCAGGGAGGGTAGGGCCCTCCATGGGGGCTCCCCAAAGTCCACCACATCATCCTGGGCCGGGTGTAGGCCCTTCGCATGTGTCCAGGCCAAGAGTGCATCCCTTCACGTGGGATGGGCTCTCAAAGTCCCTTCTGACACCAGGGAAAAATACTAATCCACTACCAGGGGACCCCTAGAGTGCTGAGGCCTCCTCATTGACATCCGGCAGCACTTGCATTTTTAAAGGAGAAGGATGTAGAATTAAAAACCTGGAATCTCTGACTTAGTGGTGTGCTCCAGAGGAGAATCTGGAGGGAGGGGAGAGAGGAGAGACAGGACGCAAGCCTGATTCTGGAGTTGTTGGACAATGTTTGGATTCTGTAAAACCGGGAAGGAGGTACTAAGTTGCTATGAGCCAGGTATTCTCTAAGAAGGCTTCCCAAGGTGCTGGAGTCGTAGCTCAACTAGCATGAAGAAAGCTTGGAGTCTATCTCCAATACCACAAAACAAAACTCAAGAGGGTTTCCACGACTGGCCCATGTAGTCATGACCACAAACCCAGGGTATAAGATTAATACCTATCACTGTGGTAGCTGAAGACAGGAAGTGAAGAAGGATGGCTTGACCCAGCTAGCTGTCTTTTGAGTTTGAGTCTCCATCCTTTGGCAAGGAACCATTTGACATGCAAGTGTCCAAATGCCAACACGGCAGGTGAAAAAGACAAAAAACAGCTTTATTCTAACTTGCTCAGTTCCAGAGACAGCCTATGCTCCCCATGGGTTCAACTTCTCACTTACAGAAGGTTGTTGCCACCCATCTCACCCAGGTATCAAGAAGTAACTGTTGAGGTGTAGTTTGGACACAGCAGCCAGGCTTTCAGACCCACTGGATCCAGTACAAACACAACTCTGCCACTCCTAAAGTTCTCACTAGGCAGGGTGCAGTATCCCCATCTATACAATGAAATGCTAATGGCCACCTCAGCAAGTCTCTGGGGAGTGAATAAAACTAATGGCTTTCTTGGTGCCTGGCATGAAAGAGTGGCAGTTTACAAAGCCCATGTGTGTGTCTGGGACTGTGGTAAGACAAAAAGACCCAGGGGCAAGCAACTAAACCATAACCCTTGGCCTCCATGAGCCCCAGTTCAATACTAGGAGGGAGATACAAAGCCTCCCAAGGGCTCTCAGGCTGTGGGGCTGAGGCAGGAAGCAAGAAAGCAGTAAGCTGGAAGTGTAGCTCAGTGGTAGGGTATTTGGTTGGCATAAGTGAGGGCCTGGGTTCCATTCTTAGACTGTAAAAATAAATAAATAAGAAAGGGAGGAAAGGATGGCACTGGGAGAGTGGTTCATTTGGTAAAGTGCTTTTCTACCTTTACAAAGCCTTGGGTTTCATCACCAGAACCACATAAAACCGGGTTGTTGGCTCATACCCCTAACCCCAGTACTTGGGAGGTGGAGTCAGGAGGATCAGAATTCAAGATCATCAGCTACCTAGCCTTCAATATATGAGACGGAGGAGGAGGAGGAGGAGGAGGAGGAGGAGGAGGAGAAGGAGGAGGAAAAGAGAAAGGAAGGAGAGGGAGATGAATTCTTAGCTCAAATATAAGCAAAGGAGATGTGGTTCTTCAACCATTTTTTGAAAAATTTCAAACAAAATAGAAGAGTGACACAAAGGGTTTTCATATTTTAACCTCAAGATTCAACAGTCAACATTTTTCATATTTGTTTCAACTTTTTTTTTCTTGGCCAAACCATTGCAAAGTAAATTCTGGATGCTTGACATTTTGCCTCTAGTAAACCAGTGTGTACCTCCATTTTCACTCATAAGTATGATACAATTATAATTGTTTCATCTCACAGAATTAGTAGTAACTCTTCTATGTCATCCAATACCCAGTTCACATTCAGATGTATTCTTTCTCTTTCCCTACCTCAAATCCTTTTCTTGCTTTCTGTTTTGATCTTTTTTCTTTCTTTACTTCAGGACGTGCGTGCGTGCGTGCGTGCGTGTGTGTGTGTGTGTGTGTGTGTGTGTGTGTGTGTGTGTGTGTGTGCCACCTGTGTGCAAGTGCCTATTAAGGTCAAAAAAAGAGTATGAGATCCTCTGGAGAAGGGTGACAGGCAATGGTGAAATTGGTTGCTGGGAACTGAACCCAGGTCCTCTGCAGGAGCAGTAAATGATTTAACTGCTGAACCATCTCTCCAGCCCTTCTTTGTCTTTCCTTCCCCTTCCACCTCTCTTTCACAAGGTCTTAATACATAGCCCAAGAAGGCCTTTAACTCAAGATCCACCTGCCTCAGATTCACTAGTGCTGGAATATCCAGGCTTGAGTCACAGTTAGCAACTCCTGCTTTTATTTCTTGAATTAGGCTAAAACTAGGTATGTGTGTTGTGCACAGTTATTTTTCTGTTAGCCCCGGTAGATCATTTAAATGTTCTTATTTTTATGACATCGACCTTTCAGAGTCAAGACTATGTTTGTACAATGTTCTCATTCTAACTTATCTAGTTACTTCCTTATGAGTCATCCAATTTCCCCTTATCCTGTGTGCTTCCTATAAACCAGAACTTTAACCGACGTGTTGGATGAGACCCAGAGTACACATTCAAGGCAAGACACTAGTGTGAGGCTCGTATGCCCAAGATGCTCACACTTTTCCTTTTAATGGAATAGATGGATTGGCGGGTGAATGAGTTTACTTCATGTGTAACTACTATTGTCTAGTGACTCACAAACTTTGGGGGCATGCCCTAGCCCTAGAATGTGCATACTGGCAGGGTTGTTTATTGGTTTATTTCTTCATTCATCCATTTATCTTTCTCTGGTGTAGTCCAGGCTGGTCAAGAACTCACTATATAATCCAGACTAACCTTGAGTTTGGAATCCCCTGCCTGCACTTCCCAAGTGTGCAGTGATACCAGGCTTACAGGCAGTGTTCAAACCAACTCTCCAGGCAAGGAAGAGCCTGTTCCAGATGAAGGTGCTGGCCCCTTCATAACAAGGGGGATGTCTATGCCAGTGGCTCTGAGGAAGGGGCTCTGGGGAAGCTGCAGCTGGACCACAGCCAAGTAATGACAGAGAAAAACTAGGGATGGGGGGAGAGACTTTGATCTAAGGAATGACCAGGGAAGCAATTTTAAATTGTGCAGCATGAGGAAGGGGGGCTTCCTATAGCCACA